CTATTTATGAACTTACAGAGCGAATTTTATGTGAACGTAACACGTGCGAGCATTTGCTGTCGTCCGTCACCGAAGGAAAACCGATTTGATTGAAAATACTCTCGATCGTGACAACAGATAAGATAATCTTTATCAAGTGATTTGCTCATTTTAGTTTAATATAGCTTATAGTATACTTCTTATAGTTTATTATACTTGTACATTACCGTATATACTTATATTATAGCTTATCCTAGAGAAAATGAATATTTAAAGGTATACAGAAACTTGTGTATCTTATATATTCAGTCTACGTAGTATTTTGGCATTGTCCGTATATAGAGATTCAATATAGGTGTATTCCGTACACACAGAATAATATTAAATCTCTATATACGGATAAAACCGAAACACTACACAGATTGAATATACAAAAGATATAAAAATTTCTGCATATTTTTTGAAAATCTATTTTCCCTAGAGCGGTCACCCATCCAAGTAGCTGACGCACCTAACGTTGCTTGACATCGATGATCGGACGGACTAGTGGCGATTCTTTGACTCTGACGTTTCCTTTTTTTTTTTTTTTTTTTTTTTATTATTTATTGTACACCTTATTGACTCTATACATTTTGTTTACAATGAATTCTAATAAACAAGAATTCACTTGTGTTTTTTTTACTTATACTCGTATATATAACTCATTTTTATATGTAGTATTCAAAAATCTTGTAACAATATATTAACGGCAAATATTAAGAACAATGCAACAACAATTAAATATTGATTAACATTGGCCGTATTTAGCAGAATGTGTATTTCTTTACATCTGTTGGAAGTTTTCTGAGCTCATATTGGATTATTGGAATGTTAAATACATATTACATTAATAGCGCAAAAATCATTTTAAATACATCAACGCGGGCATCGTTCGACGTTCGATGTGCGGGAGATACATGAAAGTGCAGCGATTGCGGCGTCGGTATGAAGTTGGCTGCGCGTCGGGCGTTCAAAACCGTCCGTTGCAACGTCGCGCCGGTCGCGGTGGCGGAGTGCGGACAGCTCGCGGCTCGCGATCTCGCAGCTCGCAGTCTCGCGGCATCTCTGTGCTTCTCGCCGGTTTTCCTGCCGTCGTGTCGTGCCGTGTACAGTGTCGTGCGATCGTGATTAACCGTGTTTCGACGGATAACTTATGAGTGCCGGGAGGAGTGCTGCAGCGCGTATCGTCGTATTCCGACATCATGACGCGATCACTAACGGTGTAGTACATTTTACTTTGCGCGAGTGTTACGTAGTGCCGTGGGTGTTCTCAGTGCCTAGGGTGTTCTCGTAAGTAGAATATTGTGCGAAAATCGTGATGTATGTACGCTTGGTGTAAGTGTAGCGAGTGAGTATCGTCGCGAAGAGGCAATATCCAGGAAGCTGAGAGGAGGAGGAGGCCCGAGGAGGCTTCTGGCGCCGGCGGAGCAACCCCGGGTGAGCGACTTATTAGTTATTATACACACATATAATCATGTATCTATGCTGTTCGCGTGATTAATCGTTTATTTGTGCGTGATCGTCTATCCGTTTATTGTAATTGTTTTATTAAATCTTATATCGAGAAAATTGAAAATTGCATTAGATAATACGCGCGTTAATTAATTCTTTAATTATTGAGCACTTCTTCGAGCGTAGCTATAATTTGCATATTTTTTATGTTGCAGATTAACGTCGTGCTAGAACTCCGCTGCTGCGCGTCGGGCCGGTGAGTCCTTTCGTCTTCATCTCGCGCGGTTGATCTGAGAATGTTGCAGATAATTATAACAGGAAGTCGATTAGATTATCACCGAAGCGGTCGTCCCGAATATACGTTCCGAAAAAATACACGCGCGAAATTCGGTTAGGCATCGAGGCATATAGGATCAGGGCACGAATTAAGAGTCAGGAGCACGTAATGTGCAACTTTTCAAAATGGATTCCGATCGGAATTATTCCAGTTTCCCTAGAAATAGAAATCTAGGTAATAATTAAACAATTCCGAGCGGAATACAGCCCCAAAAGTCCCGTAATTGTACGTGTTCAGGTGTTGAAAATCCCGCGCGCGCGGCGCTCAGCTGTGAGTCGCGGCGCATCAGGTGACGCGCGTGCGCGGGAGACTCGTCTCTCGTCTCCCCCGCCCCCACCGTGAACGGCGTGAACACCGCGGCGCTGCGGTGCTGGCGGCTGGCGGCCCGGTGGAGCACTGACTGAGCAGCACTGAGCAGTATGGCGGTGGTGTTCGGCGTGCGCGGTGGAACTTGGCTGGTCAGTGTTGCATAATCGGCGGGGTAACCAGCTGCGATCTCGCGAAGGGATCGAGCGAAGCGAAGGCGAAGCGAGAGAAGGAAGCCGCGCGAAGCGAGGCAATCTCGGCGACGAGAGTGACGCTACAACAGCCCGACGACAGTGCCTCCCGCGGACCAAGAGATATGCCGCAGAGTGGAGGCGCGTGTTGCTAGCGCTGGCAAGGATGCGGAATCGTGCGTCGCGAATCACGGATCGGTGACAACGAACGGCGAGGATCGGTCGCGGCCGCGGCCGCGGCAGCACGGCGACAGCGTGCCACCGGTCAGCATGACGGCGGCGATCAAGGGCAGCGCCACGCCGGGCGCTCCGCGCCAGCTCAACGTCTTGAGCCACTTGAAGTACGAGTACCTAGTCGCGGGCATCTCGGGCGGCGTCGTCTCGACCCTGATGCTGCACCCGCTGGACCTGATCAAGATCCGTTTCGCAGGTGAGTGTGTGTGAGTCACGCGCCGTTCACACGTCGCGCCGTCGCCGTCGCGCCGCTTCGTGCACGCGCGAGAGCATTCGAGAAAATGGCGGCTGTCACATTGCGGCGGCACGTGGTGCTAACCGCCGAGCGGTTATCGAGCGGCGGTTTCCTCGAGGTCGGGTTCTTTCTCGAGGTTTTTTCTTTCTTTTTTTTTCTTAATTCGAGTTTCTGAAACAGGTCGGGGGAAGAGGAAAGGTGTGGAATGATGGTTGTTGTCGAGCAAGTGACTGACGAAATGTTCGACCTGTTTACGAGTTTATCGCTGTTCGATTGTATTCGCTTGTGTATTATTTCCGAGGGAAGAGAGATAATAAGGAAAAAGTCGAAAGATTGTTCTTGTAAATTAGTGTTATTCCGAATGTAGAAAGTCGTTCGGTTGTCCAGTTTTTTTTAACTGAAAGGTCACCTAGTTTTTATATTTATTCTGAATGGAAGAAAAGAATGTATATTGAACGTGTTTTTTTTTAGTCTTCTAGGTTTTTAGTTAAAAACTTGACGTTTTTGCAGTTTAATTTTGTGTTAAGACAGATTTTCCAAATCTTATTCAAAGTGATTCGGCTTTATTTTGCTTTGTACTCAATTTTTAATTATTTTCTATTACAAAAAAGAAATTTACATATCATGAATTATATCATAAATTTTGCTATAAAACGTGTGCATAAAATTATCTGATTAAATATTTCCAAATTATTACTGAAATTAAAAAAAAAATTGTATGCAAATGGAATAAGCTGTAAAATAGTATTATAAAGACATCTGTTTTAAAACAGAATATATTTTGAAAGAATATATATATTTTTTTTTTCAAGAAAATATTTAACGAACATAACGTGGCGTAAGATTTTATTTATTTGGCTTGAATATCCCAAGGAAAACTTGATTTAGTTTTTGACTAGCTTTCCCGGAACACCGCGCGTGATAGCCAATTACTTCCCGTTAAGCATGTACAACAATTGACACGCTTCCAAATTATTGCACTTACATTGTATTTAAAATAGCATTGCTCAGGACAGATACGTATGTTTCGCAAACTTGAGATTCCGTGTCGAAAAATACAATACCCAAGTTTTTTTTTCAACGCGTAATAATACGATTAATGTTATGTTCTGATTGAATATGTATTTATAATTACGTATTCTTGAGTGCCTTAGTTTTAAATCAGACATTTTACAACTGCCTTAAATCAGACATTTTACATTAGCCGTTTTATATCTTTTTGGCATTTTGTCGATGTATATATTCTGAAATCTGAAATCATACACAAAAGTAGCTAAGTAATTTATATTTGGATACGTTGGAAAGTACCGTATATAGATACTTCGCGCAAAGAATACTCGTTGTAGCGAGGCACTGAAAATAGAGATGCTTACATTTGCCTGTGCCGTATAAGCTAACTGCAAGTATAAATTCCACGTACGGCTATGCAACGCCAAACGAACAGAAGATCGATAACACGAAAGTGAAACAGCCACGCGAACCATAATTCTTTTACAATCCTTTTTCTCCTCTTAATTTTTTCACAATATTTCTAGATAAATTAATTACACAATTAAGAAATTAATTGTTAGCAAATATAACTAATAATTATTCCGATAAATTAAAATAAGATATTCTATTTTAATTATTTCCTATTTTGATATTTATATTAAATATCAAATTAAGATAGGTCTATTTTATTATTTATTTAATTTTTATTGTTTATTTAATTTATATAAATTCTATTTTAATAAGATATTCTAAGAGAAGATTAAATGTAAAAAAGAAGAACGGAACGCGAAATGAGCGGATAAACTCATACTTGGGCTGTTTGATATACATACATATATCTGATTGTTTATTATTTCAGCTTTAATTATTTACAAACATCGGAGAAGTTACAAACTAAAACAATACACCACATTATTATCTATCAACTTACGACTGAATTTTATTCCAAGCGAGTAAAGTTCACAAGTTTCTTCGTTACAGACTAATCAAAACATTTATTAAACGTTTACGAAGTTTCGCAACAGACGGCGCGGACTTTTGCCGAGGGTGGCGATTATAGGATTTAAACAGTCGTAGAATTTATCGCAAATTAGCGCAAAGAGCTCTTGACTGAACAGGCCACAATCTCGTGTCTAGATTCAGGCAGATTTTTCTCGATATTCCTTTTTTTCCGACATTTCCACCAACCGTCAATTTGTTTCTACGAACCAAAGATGCGGCACTTATCGTTAGTCGACAATAGCTTCTATTGTCTAATACTGTTCCTAGGTACCTACTTCTTCAGTCTCGGGATGAAAACGAATTCCATTTTGTCGATGGATTAATTTGGTGGAAAGTTCTCGATCGCAGACGCTCGTGGTTTCTCGATATTCGATATCAATACGCGATTATCGGGAACAAGATTTCAATATCTTTCATACATTTCAAGATACGTACGTAAAGAATATTTATAAATCGCGTTCAACGCATTTTTTTCTATATTTTTGATTACAAAAGATGCTCATAATATTTTATTTCTGACGATTCACTTTATTATCGTCATTGCTGTTTATTGCTGTCAGAAGTCAATATTGTGAACGACATTCCACTGATGATGAATGTTATTTTGCGCAGTCTGTGAACACAATAGTGATAGGGGATCACGGGATTCGCGAGGCACATTCGCGAGGCACGCGCTCGTTTGAGTCATCGCTAGCTCTCGCGCTTGTCATGATAATTGACGGCAAGATTTAGATTAGATAGCATTTAGAGACTAACATATTTGTCCAAAAATTTGCTGCAAAATTTGCTCGAAAATAATGCGTCGTTGCAGCTTAATGCTCTGATACGTCTCTGAGTTAACATCCGTATAAAGGCTTATTAACACACTTTGAGCGTTAAGCTGATTTCAACATTGAACTTAACAAATTTAATATATTATTTTAATATTAATTTACTAGATATTTTATTGCTTTTTTAAATGTCTTAATTTATATTATTTTTAATTAATGTCTAGAATTTGTATTATTTCTTTAAATGTCATAAATATGTAGTAGAATTATTCTTAATCGAGTAAATAAAACATTCACAAATGGATGACGGAGTCTCTGTAGAATTGCGGATTATTTTTGTTCACGCGTATGGCGAAAATTTTTCAAAGCACTGTCTCTCGTTGATTTTATGCGAAACAATGCATTACGTTATTTTATCATATTACTTTACGTTACATAAATTTCCGGTTTAATCTTGGTGCTCGATTTTCCATGGTCATTTCGAATTAAATCGGATATCCTTGTGTGATCTCACGTTGCACAGATAGTATTCCAGGTACTACGGTATCAGAATATTGATAGCGCCCGCTCTTTACGTTAGGAAATTCTTGGAACCAAATAATTGCAAAGGGAAACCCAATCCAAAAACTAATAATTAATACTAAATTAAAAGTCTGTTCTAATTCGTTTGCAGTTATATTTTTATTTTCCTGTGCGCTGCTATAAATTGATAAACATTCTCCATACTGTATCTCCAGCCAGAATTTCATTAACGAAGTAATTATATACTCAGCTGTTTTGAATAAAAGTTTCGGAAACGAGACAAAGGAGAGCAAACGAGGCTATTTATAAAACTTGTTCACATAATCACGAATTACGAAATTTAAAAAGCAAGATAAATAGACTAAAAATATGACAAAATTTATACGTTAATAAGCAAAGCGAATTTTGGCCAAAGTAAGCGAGTAAAAGTCGAATGTTTCTTGACAAATATCCTGATGATGAAACACGTTTTTGTTTGAAGCGGATTATCTTAGTGAAAGCAACATATCTTATCGCTCTCGTACAGGCAGACGCGACTAACATGAGCTGTTTATGCGATATACAAAAAAATTCGATCGATATGAATAAACAAAAGGCCTGAGCTTATTGGGAGCTTTGAACTGTGCAGTATCAGACATATTCACATATTTCATCCGGAAATCGAAGTTAGAGGAAATAACGAGATTGCTTTAATTCTTATATATTTTTAACTCTAATTTGTTTAGACTATGAAATTTTTATTCTAAAAAAAGCTTATATTGAAGTAGTCTAGGAAACTTGCTCGTGTATACCAGCCTACTTTAGATGATCTATAATTTGCTTTAGAGTTCAGGATAATTCAAATAGAACTCTATTAATAATTTTGCACGTGTATTAATATACATGTGTGATGTCTTACATACTTTAGGCGTATCCTGATTCTTCAAAAGTCCGTCTTTTGTGCGGCGTATATAAAATCTAATTTAGACGATCTATAATTTGTATCAATTAAAAAAAAATAGAATTCTGTAATTTATAAGTGTAATAGTTTAGCCTCGTAAAATAATCGCACGTGATGATGAGAGCCGATATGGTGATTGCATAATCCGTCACGTGTTCGCGTTTATCAATGTGACGAGCGTCATTTTATGTTTATTCTGCCATAATTTATTTTAACGTTGTCTTAAAAAAGGCATATTAGGCATATTAGGTAACATGAGATATTGGTAGCATATTACAAAAGTGCAGAAGCCTTGAATAAATAAATTTAATATTGGCAGAAATTTATCGTGGACCAGAAATAAATGATTATGTTTTAGTGTAATTAAATTTATTCTGATTATTACTCTTTTTATAATAAATATAAATTTTATAATTATTTATTAATGATACAATTTCTAAAAATATTGATTATTTATTGATACGAAAGATATGATTGATTTTATTATCTATTATTTTTACGTTATGCCGGTATCAATAATCTGATGTCATTATCAATCTTATTTTACTTTTGATAACATTATGAAAACGTCACAATTATACCACAATAATTGTTACTTTTGCAACGAATAAGCAAATCTGTCAAAATTTCATAAAATTACGGAGTATTTTTGAAATAAATTGTACGTAATCTTATTTTTTTTACCATTAAATGAGATATTTTTTGTATATTATTATAAATTTATAAGTTCTAAATGTTAGATGTAATAGTTGATTTAATTTAATGGTAATGCATTATATTACGCTATATAAATAGATACATTGTGTATCTATTTAACAGATAAACTGTAAACAGATAATTGAATTAATTTATTTTTTACAGATATAACAGAATAATAAATATATAATATCTAATATTCACAAAAATTATTGTTAAGTTAAATTAATTGTACGTACTATATTTTATATAAAATTAAAACATAATTTTTTTGAATGTATGTTTACGTAAATCTTCTCCTTTTGAGAAAAAACTCATTCTTATATTTTGAGGAATTAAATTCTGGAGTTTGTCCAACATGTGTAACATCTTATCTTACGATTCTATTGGATCTTAGCTCTTAGATAATAAGTAAGCTCGTGCACGAGTTCACGAAGGCGAGAGAAATGTTAAGATGAAAATAGCTCTTGGGACTTAATGTTACGGAAAGTTTCTCTCTCCCATCGTAGTGTAGTCACTGTTTTCATCTGCCGTTACTACAAGTACGTCAAACCAAATGAATTGCTGTTTTGAATAACTAATGTTTCCGGGCACTTGATTGCAAGTACAATCAGCTATTGTTTATTCATCTTGCATTTGTTCGAAAAATCAGTACAGTCGACTTCTGTGTACAAGTTGATATCAAATCAATGTTTATCAATGGCATTCCAGATTTGTATTCACCTGCTTTTAAGCCTTAAAGATCTTGCCGATATCATATCAGTTATCTTGAATCGGTGAAACTAAGCAAAGGAAATTAAGTAGGAAAGTTTCTCATGTTTATAGAATTTATTCAATGAATCCGTCATAATCAAACGAAGACAGAGATGTGCGCGTTGAGCGTTAAATGATTTCTTAAGTACAAAGGAATAAGATTTATTGTGAAAAACGGATACTCCACACAGGTGTGTACGTGTGTGTGTGTGTGTGTTTGTCGTATTTTAAACGGAATATTCATTGGCCGTCCACCAAGCACCGAGCCACGAGAATTCCGCAAGTTGCGTCAGTGGCACGTGACGTTCGTTATTGAATCGTTTCGTCGCGCAGTCAGCCGAATCGTCGAAAGTCGCTTCGAAATTTCTCGTCTACGAATTCATAAGTAGATACAGTTGCGAAATAAAATTTCGTGGATATGCAGATCGATATTCCTTTTGCGAACGTAAATACACAAGTTTCAAAATGCATAAGTAATTTATAAATCTAAGTTATATTAAAATAATCCATCCAAATTCTACAGCCTGCAGAATTAACGAAGACTCGTAAAATCGAATACTATCCGTGCAACCGGATATTACAGAATAGATACTAAATAGAAAAATAAAACAAAATGAAATAATTAATATAAAATAAATAACTCCCATCGGTTTTCACAGAATTATCGTAAGATACTGTCATTCGAATCAAGGTTTTTTTTTATATCTACATTTTAAAACAGAAGTTATACGTATGAATGTGAAAGCGAATGAATGTTTCTCGCGCTTCGCATACTTTGATAACGAGATGTTATTATTTCTTTGGCTCTGATTTCTTCGAGGATTTCTTTAGTCGTCGCACGAATTCGATTTGAATATTATATTACAGTTATTAAAATATTTAACATTAAAGATTGACAAGTTAATACTTATGGAAAAATTTTCGCTGAGGAAAAAATTGAATGTAAATTAATGCAGATATTCAGAGGAAATTTCATAGGCGGATTTCGTCAGTCGGAGATACACAAAATCGCAATGGGGACGGCCTTTCATAGCCAAGTGAATCACCGTCATCCATGAAAGCGAAAGTATAAATTGTACTGCGCGGTAGATGATACTTCTTTCTTCGCTCTTCTCTCTGACTTATTGCCTTACAATCTCGTGACAGTTTTAAACGATATTAATTCGGCCATTAATTTCCATTAGCTTTGCATAGGGCGCTCTCGACATAAATATATAAATTGATTCAATATAAAATTTATATCTAATCTCATTTGTCTTTTGATCTTCCGAGAGAATAATATGTTTTAGTTTTTACATTCTATTTTACATTCTAATTTACATATGTTGCTGGATTAAATTTTGTATCACATTAACGTTTTTTATCGTTTAGAACATAAAATGCATAGAATTAAATTTTAAATATTCATTTTGTCGCCACGTGGTTTTTATTATGGATATATCTGAGAAGGAAATTTCTCAGTAAATGAGACGGTCTCGTAAGACGACAACGCTACCTTTTCGCAACGAGATGCGATATGAAAACTAATGTTGCAACGTTTATCACTGGCGATAAAGCGTGTTTACGTGTGCATATGCATGTTAATCGCTTATGTAAATGTGAACGTATTCGAGCATAAAAATTAGAGGTTGCTCTATCACGAGACGATGCATTATTGGCGATGATCTGAAAACAGAGAGCAGAGGCAAGCAATCGACAAGGGAAAAACACCGTAATTGTAAACAATAATTACCGCCTAGGGGTTTGTTTCAATAAAACATGAAGTATCTCACCGACAATATCGCGGAATATTTTTACGAAGATGTAAAGTACTGCTAGCTGCATGCAATGGGATTTACTTGAATTCTTTTATCTTTTGGTTGCAGTAAACGATGGTCAAGCGAGCACGGCACCGCGATACAATAGTCTTAGGAATGCTATCGCACAGATCGTTAAGACCGAGGGTCTGCGTGGACTCTATAGGGGTGTAACGCCGAACATTCTAGGATCGGGCAGTTCGTGGGGATTCTATTTCTTCTTGTAAGTATATACGGTAGCGATCGCTGATTGCTAGCGCTCTAGATTCGTCTTGAAATCCAAATAATTGGGCGAATATCGATCTGCGATAAAGATCTCAAGTCTAGATTATCGATTTTTCTGGATATCTCGTGCTAACAGCGAATTAATTTTGCAGCTATAACACGATAAAGACTTCGATCCAAGGTGGCAATTCGAAGAAACCTCTCGGACCGTCCATGCACATGTTCGCTGCCGCCGATGCCGGAGTGCTTACTTTGCTCATGACCAACCCAATCTGGGTGGTAAAGACGCGGCTGTGCTTACAATATGCTGACGATGTGAAGCTGGCGGAGTCCAAGAAGTATCGTGGCATGATTGATGCTTTAAAGAAGATCTACAAGACGGAGGGTATTAGAGGCTTATATAAGGCAAGCAAATTTTTTAAATTAAACTTTGGAATTATGATCGTACTTGAAATAAAATGAGAACTAATTTGCAATTTACATGATTAAAGAAAGTATTTTGTACTCTTGCAGGGTTTAGTTCCTGGATTATTTGGTGTTTCACACGGTGCGATACAATTCATGGCGTACGAAGAGATGAAAAATGAATATTATGATTACCTGAATGTACCCATCGACACGAAATTGGTAAACCGATTATATTTTTATTAAGATTTTTATGACTTGGGAAGCAAAGCGGATCTAACTACGCGTAGTAATTTTTAATTCGCTATAACCTGTTACTTTTTTTGTTAATCTGCACGAAAAGCACAAGTAGTGTTATCTATTTACAAAAAAAAATGGTATTTTAGTTTCCAACTGTGATAGAGATGCTTATAAATAATATTCAATAATAATAAGAAATATTTCTAATATGTGATTCTTTTCACAGAGTACATCCGAATACATCGTCTTCGCGGCGATGTCAAAGCTGATCGCTGCAGCGTCGACGTATCCTTACCAAGTGGTGAGGGCACGACTTCAGGATCATCATCACGATTATCGGGGTACCTGGCATTGCGTTCAATGCACATGGAGGTCAGAAGGAATTAAGGGTTTCTATAAGGGCTTATCACCATACCTTTTACATGTTACACCAAACATATGTCTAATTATTCTTATTTACGAGCATTTTACTAACGGTAGTTAATTTATATACTTTATTGCAAATGTAACTTTTTAGGCAATTTTTTTCTTACTCATCTAGCGGGTAATATCCCCCGATTTATCAAAACTTATGATTCAAGGTATTCACAATACGCAGAGTGCGTGTATGATCTTTTAATGATGTGAGGCAACAGTACCTCAATTTTTTTTTATAGATGAGTATTATTCAGATAAATTACAGTAAAGAATTATTGTTTTTCAGGAAAACTTTCTTTATGAAACCACTTTTATCTGAAATGTTTTTGGAAGACTCGGAGGTTAGCCGTAATGATTATTAGCAACAATTTTTATTCTATTCCGTTGTAGGCGACATGTAGCTAATGTATTAGTTTTCTTTCTGGCATTCGCACAAAGCGAATGCACAATATTTTCTATTATTTGTATTTCTATTAATTTATATTTGGTTTATAGAATCGTACAGTGATGAAAGAAATCGCTCGACATGGGAAAGTAGCTTAAATAATTGCTTTTACTGTTGTCGTTTTAACTTCTCGCGTAAATTGCAACGCGACGATTGCAAAACGGAGAAATAGATCTTGAAGTGGCAATAGCTCGTGGCACGTATTGTACGTAGAATGAATGTGTTTTATTTATTCAACCACTCGTCCTTTCTTATCCAAGTACACACTGAGAGACTGCGATAATGTAAAATGGACAAAGTTACTTTATTTCATCGACACATTTAATTTATGGCGAAACTTATAGTGGACGCATTGTAAAGATAGTTTTTGTTATAACGAAAATGTATTTTAAATGAAATATCTTCTTATTATACAAGGTCAAACAATGGATAAACGTATGAGTATGATCGTCTTTTGTTTGCCGAGTTGTGTAGATATCTGAGTGTCAACTAAACTGGATTTAGTTGAACAAACCTAGATAGATGTGCTTGGTTGCGCGCACGGTTATGCCATGCGAAAGGAAGCGAGGAGTAATATCTTATATTGATTATATTGGTATAAGATGGTGCTCTATTAATGCTATATTAATGCTCTATTCAAATGGAAGAGTTGCAAGAAGAAACGGATCACGGTCGGCAGACGGTGTAATCTTGGATAGTTAAATTAATAACCAAATATTTACGCAACTATACGAATAACACACACGATATACTTATTATCTGTGTAACGTTCGAACAATCTTTGACGCATAATGTGTATGAACCACATGTGTAAATCGATGATTTCTGCGTCTTCACTCGAGTCGACGAGTTTCAGTGCGGACTAGACGTCGCTTAAATTAGCGATTTCTTTTTTTCCTTTAATCCTTTCTAGCAAATACAGTAAAAATTCGCTGCATTCTACCTTATCTCCCGTTCCCCCTTTTTTCATTTTACAAAGCGACTCTGTTTCTCTGTAGCTAATACTTTACCTCATCCTAAGGGGAGTATATAGAGTCCTTTATAGATCATTTTTGCAAGGATCGTAGAGTCTGGCACTCGGAACGTATGATCGATAGCAATAAGTTTCCTCACTGCAATCTGTAAATAGTAGGACGAATTTATTTATATTCAACTTGTTTAGCCATAAATTTAGCTAGAATCTGTGTTTCTTCGGAGAAAAGAGAGTCATGGGGACGAAGGAGCATACTTAAAGCAACATTGTGACGATACTAATAAACACACGCACACATATCGAAAAGTGTTTGTCATTAAATTAATCATTTATTATTTCAGATTATTAAATTTACGTTATTCAAGTTTACCCAGATTTGATATCTTTATTCTGTTTCTCTTTTTACTGTTATTTACTAATGATACTTTATTGACAGCGCAGAGAATAGGAAGGACGTCATCGTTATTTAATTACGATTTAAAGAAATATTTTTTCTTAGATGTATTTTGATGTGATTAAGATCGCTTATTGTGGTTGTTCTGCTTATATATAATATTGTAGCATGTATAAAGGTATTGTGATTGAACGATGAAATTTATGGGGTACGTTACGATCTGTCTCGGTTAGTTTAGTAGCTTGTTAAGCCACCAGCAGTACGATTTTTGAACGTAAAATTAGATTCTGTTGCTTCGAATTTGTGCGCGATTAATCGGTTCGTTTGAATCTAATAGAATTAAATAGAATCTATCTAATATAGCTGACACTATTAAAAACATAATTATTATTTTCGCTGATTGAATCTTCGTAAAACTCTTGACGAAAGAGAACCGTTAATTCTCTTTCGTCTGATTTTTTATGATGAATTCTATTGTAGCGTCAAGAATCGTACGCGGGTTAAATTTAATAGCGCATCAGAATTCTTCGCGTCTTTAGTCTGTTGTAAAGCAAAGTAAAACAAAGGCGTATTGCTGGTGGTTCGTTGCAGGTATGAGGGTTGGCGTGGCTTTTACAAGGGTTTAAGCGTAAACCTCACCAGAGTGACCCCGGCGACAGTTATCACGTTTGTGGTCTACGAAAATATGTTTCATTATCTGCAATCCAGGCGTACCGCCGTGGAAGAAACGATCGCTGTGCCTGCGGTTAGCAAACTGAAGGAGTAAGGTAAACCAAGGAGATCCCTCGGAGCTTTACCGAAACACACGTGTAATCCAGTTGTACTTTGAGTCGTACGAATTATATTTCTGATGACATATGGACCGAAACGAGTGAATCGTCGTAATTACGATAAAATTCTACTGTGAAGAAAAGGCTTAAGACACAAGCTTAAAAAAATAATTATTTAAATTTCTTATAATTCACACTATGTACAGCATAAAATTTGAAGTTGATATAAAAAAGGCTGCAAGCATTAGAAATAATTTTAAGAGAGGCTCATTATTTGTTTAGTTACTATTTTGGGAAAAAGTGAATAACGAATACTTTTCACATTGATTTTAAGTCTCGTCGATATTTTTAAAAATGTCATCCGTAGTCCTTTTCTGAACGCTGTTGGTCATTTCATTCTGTAGTTATAAGTGTCTTCAAATCTTGTATAGATTTTCCATCGATGGAAGAATATCGTAATAAAAAAAGCTTTAATAGATTAGAGGATTTCTAATGTAATAGTGGTCTGTGTAAATCTTTATCGGATAAAATAAAAATTGAATGACTGAAGAGTGCAAATGATTGAAGTTATCGAGTGCTTATTTGAAATGCACCGATAATACAGATTATTTCTATTGATTGCATCTTTGTTTTTTATGCATGTTTATAATTTTATTCATAATTTAGCTACATTCGCGACCATTTTTGATGGATACAAAATAGCTTTTATAAATTGATTTTTTATGTTGTTAGACATAAAATTTATTAATTGTAGAGAAAGATAAGATTTAAATATATGTATATGTACGTATAGATTGATGATAAAAAATTTGTTAGTAAAAGATAAATTCTTACTCAATTTTACGTTTCAAATTTTCTTATTTTTACATCGTATCTTTCTCTTTTTCCTCTACATTAAATACTTGCATTTAGAAGATACATTTAAAGTTTGTATTGAGATCTTTAATTACATTATTATGATTTGTTGTTAATGTTATTATCATTTGTTTTATATTAATTAAGAAGGTTTTATGTTCAACTTGATCAAACGTGTACAAATTTTACTTTGTCGTTTATTATAATATCGATATTCTTTTTTTAAATAATAAGCTTGATGTCGCAAGACATGGAGAGTTGAAATAAAAATGAGCTTTAATGTATAATAAACAAATTATACATATGTATAGTATAATAGTTATACATATACGTATATATATAATTTTATTATGTATACAGTACAATAATAGTATATAATAAACAATATTGAGTAAGCATAAACAACGCAAACTAATTGCGAAGAAAACGAATTAAAACATTCCCAATTTTTATGATTTTTGCTATTCATTTGTTCCAGGTTAGTTGTTGATTTATTCAATTTATTTCGTTAATTTATCGTTTTATATATCATTTAGTACAACAGATCACATAGACATCAACATCTCTGATAAAATTTACAGCAGACATTTCGCACGATCTTCTTTCAATTTGGTTGTATGAATTGAACTTTTTAGATATTCTCGGTGCAATGCAATTACGCAAAGTTTTTTTAATTATTATTTATCGATATAATGGCTTATTAGATCTAAAAGATTCACAGGACATTTTTTGTAACGCTGATCGCAGTGCTGCTCACGTTCGGCTTCCACAATCTCATCTGGAAGATCTTCGCTCATTGACATAGAGGGTCTGCGACAAAGAAATGCGCACAAATGTTATAATTTTTATATTACTCATGTCATGCCTGACACGTGTGATAGCATAAATGTGCTGCCGGATGAACATTTTGATCGAAAATAAAAATTTATCGGACAAGCTGATCTAATTTTCTAAATTTCCAGAATCCATTCCATTTTCTTATCCATCACTACTGTAATTTACACTGACCGCAATTGTCGACTTTTTTTATTCTTACTTGATATAATTCAAATAATTTTTCTTTTTGATATTTACGTGAATATAATTTGAAGGATGTCGCCGAGCACTCCGTTTTCATTTAAGGAGTATCTCTCAGCTTCGCAGATTGTTCTCAGCAAGCAATCAAGTCCAGGATAACCCAGGCTGTCACAAGATACGTATGAAATTATATTATTTTTCAAATTTTACTTGCAAAATTATATTTTAAATGATTAAAAATTATGGTAAAATTTTGCAGGATATGGGATAAAGAATAATTGACACGTGTAGTTCTATTACTTGTCCAATTTACTGGTGAACACCTTGTATACTAGTTGACGACTGAGACTTCGTTTTGCATAGTAACTTCCCTCGTAGAAGTAACTCGAATTCCATTTGTATGGCAATCCGTAATTCGCTTCGAAATAAAACGACACCGCTATAGATTTGTCTGGAATATCTATGGGAATTCCCAAAGCGAAGAATATCTACGAATCAGATTAAATCCCATTTAAAGAAAATGATTAATCAATTTAACCTTCAATGAGCCTAATTTCTCGAAACATGTCGGTATATTGATTTACAAAGCGAAAAGTATCTGCAAGTTTTATAGATGTGCTATAGATTGCTAAAAGCAAATTGTAGTGAACGTTTCTTATCATGATTTCTTTAGCGATGGATAAAGTGATTTTTTTCGATATTCTTTTCAATATTGTTGAGTAGGAATTACCGTTATGTTAAAACAAACGTTTATTTCGGGTTTCTTCGATTTTTTTATCTGATCACACTTCAGAAGTGCGCTTGAAGTGCGAATGATTAATATTGAGTTAACAGACTGCCCGTACAGTCCGAGACACATTAGTAGATGAAAAATGAATGATTGATCCACTGTACCCCTGAAGCGCTACCCTCGGGAAATCCGATAGATCGTATATGCCTCGATACACCGTGTGTAATATTTTTCACTCCTGATACATGTGTTGACTTCATAAAGTACCACATCAAGAGAGCCAGCATCGTAACATAATTTCTGAAATATGTCAAGATTTAATGAAAATTTCATCACCTATGTTACTCGTATTTAATTATGGTTTTTAAAACATTTCGTACTTACTATTTTTAATCTTTGGAAACAAAATTAATTGGTTTGAAAAGAGATGATTTAATTTATGGTACTTATCCCTTATCAATGATTTATTTAATGGTACTTTTTTTCCTCGGTTGTTTACTTATTTCTCATTTTAATCCGTTTAAATAATTATTTAAAAAATTTCAATATTTCACATTTTAGTCAACGATCGCTCGATTTTAGTTACAAGTTTTTATGTAGTTTTTATTATTAACGAATTCGGGAAACGATCGGAGGGAAAAAGCTATGTAACGACAACACTTAAATTTGTTTTGTAAAATAAATAGTTGCAATGTTTAGATACTGAAATGATATTTTCGGAGTTTCATCGAGCGTGCTCGTGATATCGCTCGCAATATTGTTCATTCGGAATTTATACGTGGGATGGTCGATGTGTCGGTAAAAAAAAAGGGACACGCGTCTCTGTTTGTTCATTTCTTTATTTCGCGAGCTGTTTTGATTTTGCGGTCGCCTCATAGGTTTTCGCGCGTATGCAAATACCTATCGGCCAATTCGATTGTTTCACGTGCAATTGCGCGATTTTCGCTCGCGAAAATAAAGCAAGGAAGAAAAAAAAATATTTTCCACGACAGGCGGTTCGTGTCAGGTACGCGTTAATAAAGTGTTTGTAGTCTCCTCTTATCGTTCACGTATTATCGTATATCTTTTAACTTCGCGATCGCATTTTTCTTAATTTTTACCGTTGCTTGCGTAGAGAATAACCTCGGTATCGAATACTCACTTTTTCATTTCTCTAGCGTACAACTGGACACGTGAATCTTGCACGAGGTTTTTGCCGAGTGGCAAAGTGGCGGTTTGTACACAGTTTAAGCGTGTGCGAAATAAAAATTATGTTAGTTTGCGCAAGGCTAATAATTGCAGTCGTTATCAGGCTGCGGTAACCGTTTCTCGTCTCGTTATGCACGTTCTGATGCTAATAGAGCGACGTGTAGTGATTTAAATCTTTGCGAATCATGTTTAGCGTTGTGCCATCAAAGAATTTTATTTTTTTCAATTTGTTCGATATAAATATTTTTAATATTTATCACTTTACATGTTTCAAACGCGTTTTAACGTTATTTTTATGTCAATGTTTTATTTAAACTTATTTCAGCACTAATGGAGTGTACATTGTCAATATTTTATTCATCCGAATATAATTATTTAAATTGTTAATACCACCAAAGCGATAATATTGTGTTTGTGCGCTTCGCAAAATATGTTTTTTATTTGTTTACAGAAACTAGTTGTTTGAAACTGAAATATTCCAAATCCCATCAAGATCACATTTTAAAACCACTTTACCTTGATGAAAAACAAGGTGTTGTTCGATATTTCAGATTTATCTCTCGCGTTTCGTTTTATCTATTGATTCTTCGATTAATCTTCTCAACTTTCAAATATTCGTTAAAAACATTCGGTAACTATGTCTGAAATTAAAATGAATTTAGAGTAAAATCGCCTTGTAATTAAACGAAGATTAATATTTCGTTTTCTATTTCTTGAAGAATTCTTGCTCCTAATATGTCGGTTCAAAATGTGTTATTCAAAAAATTAATTATCAAAAACATCTGAGTATTTTTATTACATAAGAAATTAATACAAAAGCGCGTATTTACGACAAGTTACGATCAATCCGCGACATCCCGTGTATACCGATACGAACTCGCGATATCGGCCGGCTTCAGTTGTTCAGATGTCGGAATGAGATTATGGTCCGCGGGATGTATTAATCCCGCGATCAATATGCGTCTAGCACTAATTGAATTAATAATGGAATTGCAGGTCGGCTGTTTCTGCCTTGTTTGGTACATTCCTGATTCAATGCGGCGAAACTCGTAATTATTCCACGGGTCTTTACGATAGCGGGCCGACCGCCGGACACGCGGGCCTGGATGCCGCAGAACAATGCTCGGCCACCACCTTTCGCCAGTGGTGGTCCCCAGCTAGAATATATCCCGGCACGAAGTTTCGCACACTAAATACATTATTGATTAGCGCGCCATGAATTTAGTGGTCTCCGTCGCGCCTTGCGGCCCGAGCATTCGTGGCATTCGCTCAGAGGAGGGTGGCAGGTTATTTTTGGGTCACGAAGTGCGCCTCCACTTGCATTGTGTGTACACGCGATTGTCACCGCATACTCCGATTTTCAAGAACGTTTATACCTCTGGCCCTTCCGAGCCGGTTTCTTTTAAATTTATTTCGCGTTTGCATTTACAGTCCGCGCACGTGTTATCCGTTATCGACGTTCGCGTCGATCCATATCCATATTGCGAACCGGCGTCGCGCTTCCACGAGGATACTGGAAAAAAATAACTAAGAAAAATAACGTAAAAGCACATACGTATATAGCGAATTTTATGTTTCTGAGATTACTTTTCTGCTATTTTTTAACGAGACTCCCTATTATGTACACATTTCATTAAACTCTTTTTATTATCTGTCCCGGTACTAAAGCAATATTATTTTTAAAATTACCAATCGATGCGAGAGCCATATCGTTCTCTCGCTCTGACTATTATACCGTCGCGTCGTGGAGAAATCTCCGCCAGCGGGTGTTGCTCGACGAGGGGTGAATTACGTCTGGCAATTCTCACCTTTGTTATTTTTCTCCCGCGCGAGTAAGTCGAGCAATATCGCGCGCTCATTGAAATAAAGGATGCGAGATTTATGGAATCACGTGCGCGCGGGAAAGGTTTTTTACGAGGCCCGACGGCTATACGTGGAACAACGCCGGGGATTTTTCGCCGCAATTTTCCGCGAGGCCGCGGAATGCGAGACGCAGCCTCCTCGTGTGTGCAATGAGGAAGAGGCAATGGTGCGGGGCGAACGGGGGCGCAGCGCCGGAACGCATTCGCATGCACCATGCACTATTGTCGTTGCGCGAACATAAAAAAAAAAAGTGATCGCGGCGGGTAAATAGCGCGAGAAATTCGAAAAATGCAGGGCTGAGCCATTTAAACGAAGTGCCGATATATAAAGGCAGCGCTAGTTCGTGTTAAATTTTTCCGTTATTTTCACGCGATTTATAAGAGCAAAAGACTGGAGATCTTATGAATATTTCACATTTTCGCTTACGTTCTTTTGAAGATCTTAAAGATTCTATCAAAATGAAAAATGTAAGAATATAACTTCGGAAACCTGTCTGAAGAAACTGCGAGATTATTTTATATTATTTATAATTATATTAATAACTCAATTTTAGGTTCATAATTCGCATGAGTTTTTAAGTTCACCTTAGACAATCTATAATATAATCCGTATTAGAGTTCAGAAGAAAATTTTGTTTATAATTTTATATGACACGTAATGCAAAAAGCTTTGAGATGTATCGAGATAAACAAAAATGGATTTAAACAGGGGGTTGAAATGTGTGTGTAAAATAATATTAGAATAATATTAAGTCATAGAATAAGAAATTAAGATTGTAAAGTGATCGAAGGGCGGCCACGTGCAAGGGTTATGCAAGTCCGAGCGAACAAGATTTCATCCCTCGGACCAGGTCGCGGGGGTGAATTCTGGCTCAGGGGGTTGTTCGCCGTGCGGTGTGCAGATGGCGGCTCCTGGTCGGTATCCGGGATTCTCAGCCCCGCCCATGTGATTTAAACGACAACCTTTCCAGCGTCGATCCACGCGCACCCCAGACCGAATGGGTTCGACGGGATGATTGCGAGAGGATGGATTCTGGAGGGTGAATGACTGAACGGCGAATGAACATCCGCATCTGTAACGCACGTTTGTGTCTGTGTCTTCGCAAAAATTCATCCCATCTCGGTTCGACGTCGTATAGTTCGAATATCAAGGAAGGAATTGTCGCGAAAGTAATAAACTGTAAAAGCAACGTGCATCGACATGTTACATTATTATGGAAATTGATGTTATGGCGAAAGAGAGAATTTTTACATTAGATCAATGAGTCATACGAGTCATGTGAAAAAGAGGTGCTTTTATTATTTTTTTTTTTAAGTAAAATAAGTAGTGCAATCACTAAGTAGCAACGTAATAATATATATATATTTTATTATTTAGAATCTTCAGTTATTACTTTACAAAAGAAGTGTAATAAGATACATCGATCGCCTAAGCGGCTGTTAATACATAAGATGAGTTATTAATTTGTATGGGTATATAATGGGTAAAACATAATAGTAGTTATTGTCAAGATATTATTAAAGGCGGGTGGGTAAAATCTTATAAATTAGCGCTAGGCACAATAGAATATAACTGATTTCTATCCTTAAGGCTTAACTAGAGTCATTGTTAGAGTTAACAATTTGATTCATTCAGTTTCGATTCGATCAATTTAGCAAATTGCAACGCAAATAGATAAAGCAACTGCGAATTCGAGCATTCAGACGCACAATTCGCGATCGGAGGGATAAGATGCATAATATTTGGCACATATTATACGGAGTACTGGAGTACCGGAGTAGTGGCGCACGACCGCAGGCCGGCGCGACGCGACGCGGGTGAAAAGTTCAACAGACAGATTTGCATCGGAATTACATCGCATAAAAGCCGCGTCCCAGAGCCCCGACTTACCCGGCGCTGTCGACGGCCGCAAACGGACGGCAACCGCATTAAATACTGTCCCCGTACTGTCCGGAACCGCCGCTTTCTTCTTTACCTATCTACCCGCCTGTCGTCGTGCGCTCGCCACCCCGGAATCGCTCCAGGCCACGTCAGACGAGTTTCGTCCTCCACTTACACTCAAGTTTGACGCTCGGCTTTGAGCGGCACGAGAGAAGCGAGAGACGATTATGAGCTTACTTGGCCGCGCCGGTAGTCGGGTTGGGCGATTTACGACTTAATGAGAATTAACGCGGTCATGAAGCTATAATCGTATAATCAGAAACGGGAAGAGCGAAAGGGGGTAACACGTTATTTGAATCAGGGACGCAGAACCATAATCGATAATTACAACGAGATTGGCTTTTTTTTATGTGCAAAACATATTAAAGGCGCTGAATCTTTTGGACGTACATATACATAAACGTATACATTTTTCAGAGCAATTTTACTTTTTACAGAGCTAAAAGTAATCGCAGCATCGTTCGTCTTGTTACTCTTTTTATCGCGGCACGCGATATATTGTTCGTATCGGTCCCGATACGTTCAAACGAGCCTCTCTTTTTCTCTCTTCCTTTTTTCCTCTCTCCCTCCTTCCCTCGTAGGCGCCTGTAGGCACGCGTACGTGGCGCACGTGTGTCTCGTGTCCGTACGTTATCCGGAAATCGATTAACCCGATTCCGTGCACCGCGAGTTAACGTCGTACCCATCTACCTTGCAAGCCACGTACGAGGGCATTCCACGAGCCGCCCCTGCTGCGCCCCATCTCGGTTTTCGACTCGGCGAAACGTTTACGAATCGCAAGGGGGTGCGACGGGATGCGCAAACAGAGGCCAAAAGTGTTAGGGTAAGCATTTATTCCGTCAGGCGGCAAGCAGCAACTGAGATCGAATAATTTCCGAAGGCGGACCAGAGGCGGATGAGGTTACTATCTAAGGATATTGCCGCGCCGCGCGGGAAAGACGGGAGGAAAGTCGAGATTCCTCGGGATTCGTTTCGGATTTACCGGGAAACTTATATGGAACACGCGTGCCGCCTGATTATATTACGCGTTTGATACGAGGTTTGATATCGTCTCAGCGATATCTCCGATCCCTTGCATATCTGATTGCAGAATCCTTAATCAGCAAAAAGAAATCTTATTGTTAACCTGAAACATAAAATGCAATTATATATAGCGAACGATATTTTGATCCAGATATATAGCTTAA